CACAATCAGCATCACCTACTACCGACAGCCAACTAATATTTCTATTAACCTTCAGCTGGACCAAACACCACATCCTCACTGATGCCACCACATAATGCCAAAATTTCAGAATACACGAAGTTACTACACAAATTGACACTATCACATTATCACCCAGCACCTTCGGTTATTTCACTATCATAAAAAGGAGATTATTTCCACTGAAATTACCGTACAGCTATGAATTCTATCCACAACGTCATTAAAACCGGATAATCACTTCTGTCAATATCGTAACCTGATTGGTAATGAGTATTCTGTCATTAAGACGACAACACTACTCTTTCTCAGAAGAAGGTTCAATATTATAAAACTATCGCTAGTTTTTAGCTCGTCAGGATAGTTCTTCTCTTTATGGACACAGCCGCCAAGCTTTAATGTCTTCCATGTGATAATACGCTAATCTTCCACGTTGTACACAAACGAAATTGTTCGCGCAGATTGAAAAAGTAGAGCATTTACCAGGATTATGTCCCCTGGGGCCAATGTGCACCATGTCCTTCTCAATGTGTGGTGATCAGAAACGAAGAGTTCATTAAGGAAATTAGAACGCGACTCCACCACAATGCAATATGGTTTCAGAGAGACCCTTATGGTTTGATTTAAGGAGATGGCTGCCTTTGATTTTAATTGAATCACTGAAGTCGTCGTAAAATTAATCAAATCATGGTGGAATTGCTCAGATAAGAGCCTTATACTCTGTTCTTGTCTATTGAATACAGTGGATCAAGTGGCGATCGTAAAACCGCCACAACTTGAGTACATGGTGTAACATTGCTTGGATAGACGTTGTAAATCGCGTAAATGCTTCAGTAGAGCTATGAGCCGAACATCCATACTGACAGTAAGCGTTACCAGGATAATACGAAAATCTGTACCCATGTTATCAGGTATTGATGGACTCTTTGATGGCCTCATATAGAACGCACTGAATGGAATAAATATGTGTACGGAATATGTTAGCTGACGTAATTGGTTTTGGTGAAGTCGAATCCTTGGATGGCTTCATAAGATTTCCACCACTCAATCGATTTTAAAGGAAAGTGCATATGCGTGGTACATGTGCCACTATTGAAGGAAAAAAATACACAATGACCAATGCTGTTTAAAAAAACGACAAGACAATTAAGTTAAGGGACTTGTTAATCTATATATTTGATGGATTCAATTACAATCCTGCAAGACAGACGCCATGAAACACCAACGCTCCCACGAGTTGCATACTTTAAAAGCTGTATATCGATGTTGCAAATAGGCCATCTTTTTTAAACCACCGTGTGCAGATACCAATATAACCCACTCCTTGTTCTGGTAATGACCAGGCTGTATGTAGTATATTGGAGTTGCCGGTTACCTAAAGTTTAGACATCAGCTAAGACAAGTCACCGGGGGCGTTGCATAAGCGAAAAGTTTCATTACCTATGTCAATCTGTAGATGTCGGCGAGTGCCTCCGGTCAGTAAATTAGCTGCAGCAAACCATAGTTTATTTCTTTCTTTTTCAGCCTCCGGGTGACGTCTAAAGATATAGTGCCAACGTTCCATCCCCATATAACCTTTTCAGGCATTACTTTGTCGCGAAGAAACATGTTTTACGGATAAAATACAGAGTCCAAAGTATCTAATAAAACCGGCCCGGAGTCTATCCATTAAATGCAGTAATGTTTCCTTGTTAGGAAGGCTAATTGAAGTTGTTGCATGAAATAGCCAAAGGGACCGTGGAGCACCTCGTTTTTAGATCTTTATTTCAAAGAAGGAACCGTAAATCTAACTGAATGTCAAGATCTGGCTTAGCTTATACACGAAGACATCGGTGGTTGTCGATAAGACTAAGGATGATGGAAACTTAAGAGGAAGGTACCAAACTTGGCTATTTTGTTGAGAAAGGTATTCACTTAATACCACTATAAGGAGATTGTGTTATATTCCAGAGGCCTGAATTTGGATTTTGGTATATGCCACAGGGCAATTGTGAGACGAAAAGCCAATTCCAATTTGCTCCTTATAGGACAGATGATATGCAATATCACCTTGTTGTGTAACAGTATGTCTGAGTAATGTTGAGTCACATCAGCCATCGTGGCTCACACGGAGCTAGTTATGACGTCGACTCCTAGAACTAGGTCCTTGACCAAAATATGTTTAAAATGTTATGAGCTCAAAATTACATATTGTCACATGGCAAGAATAACTTGCACGTGCTAACATTGCTTGCAAATTTTTGTGTAGGTGTAAAGGAACATTATATTATTTTCAATACTGTCTGCTAAGAGTAGTTGAAGCTCAGAGTTCACGCCTATTACGTATGCAATCTATATATAAATCAACATCCATCGACCTTCCCCCGACCTTGATCTACAATGGAAATGTTTATGTTGGTATCGATGTACCATTAGCAGTTATCAATTACCATTACGCTGAGTGGTGGCACGTGGTCCTGTGCACAGCGCACAGATTACAAATCAGTTAAGTTAAGCAACGTCGGTCTCAGAGAGAACTTGGATGGGTGACCACGTTAAGCTTGACTCCTGAGAGTTTCTAGGGCTTCGGTCCTGCCCCACACTGAAGCACATGTACCACATGTGGTGTCTCCTTAGGCAAGTGACTTCGTTCGAAATGTGCCTCTGTTCACCCAGCAGTGAGTGGGTACCCGGTAGGATGAGATGGTAATGTGGCTGTGAACCTTCTAGCGCCTCACAGGCAGCTTGGGTTGTATACTCCCGAGGGAGATGAGAATGAAAATCGAGTGCTCACTGATCCATTGACCGGGGTAATAATAGTGTAGCGCTATGAGCATCCACTTGGTGAATGGAATCTGGCGCAATATAAATGCACTTATTATTATTATTAGTACGTGTGGTGTCTCCTTAGACAGGTAACTGTTCGAAATATGCCTCTGTTCACCCAGCAGGAAATGGGTACCCGATAGGGTGCGACTGTTAACCTTCTAGTGTCTAAGAGGCAGCTTGTGTTGTGTAGTCCCCAGAAATAATTTATCATGTAGCGCTGCCGAGCAAGTATCCACGTTGGAATGATGGCGATTATAATTGCATTATATTATACATGTTGAAATATAATTTAACTTAAATTAAATTAACAACTGCTCAAATGCGCCCAGACAATGATTGATCAAGTCAAAGGCTTTCTTGAAGAGACAGGTTTTGAGTGTCTTTTTCAAGTTTGTCAGCTTTTCTGTTTCTCGGATTTCTTGTGGCAGTTTGTTCCACAGCAGTGGGTCAACATGTTGAAATGACCTATCGCCATATGTTAATTTTGGCACCATTAGCAGATGCTTATCTTTTGATCACCTGCCATAAGACGAGGAATCAACTGTACATGCGCAATATAATAACTGAGCTAGCTGAGTGTGCCACACATACCACAGGCCTCGCTGTGATCTTCTTCGACAAAATCCTCAAATCAAGGATGTCAACATTTAAGAAAAGTGTTCGTTGCACGTCAGTTCACATTTATACCTGTCAAGTTAAGTGTATAAGCTTATTATAATTGACACTGCTCGCATCTCAGTTTTCAATCTTATCTGGTAAGAGGGCAGAAGAAAATTATATTTTCCAAATATCAGAATTGTCAAGAACCAATGTAATGACTGGAACGTATGACAACATGCTGGCAAAGGATTTCCTGTATTATTGCCACCGACGAAAACAGGTATTATACATAAAGTTCATACCTAATAACTGCACAAAACACTTGGCTATGTTTGGATGCTTCAAAAGACATGGGTTTTCCTATAGAGAAATATGATTAGGTTTCTGGGAGTTGAGTGATCGCGAGGGTTCCTGTAACAATCCAGGAGATTAGAGGGCCGGTCGGATTCGCTCGGTAACAAGATGTTTGTTAGGCTAGAAACTGAACAGAAGCCTAACCTAGTTGTATTTACACGCGTGATGACGGAGACTTACGCTCAGACAAGCTCTGAATCTATGCTTTGACAAGGGATTGGCGTTCGTGTCCTTGACGTTGCCTTTGACATTTTTCAGTCTTTGTCAGTTGCTTGAATAAGAAAAAAATAACAATTCTGATTTCAATTTTTATTTTGAAAATGTGATAAAAACAGGGTTTTTTCGAAGAATTGGAATTTGCATTTAGTGTCACGAAGTATACACGACTATTCAAATTAGCACGTGTCACTCATGTCAACCAACGGTGAAGAATGATGTCTCAGAATTTATCCTGCCATCCATGTGTCTGGCCAGTGAGCAATACACTCTTCAGACCCTGAAAGTAATGACTTATTGGATGTGCCGGGATGGGATGTGAGGTGAGGCGGAATGGGGTTGAAGGTCGCCGTCAGAATGATTGAACTTGAACAGGGACGTGCATGCACGTGTGTTTGTAGCTGCTTGTACTAGTCAGGAATAACGCCGGTCTCATATAGCTCACTGAGCGATTGAGTGAGTATTGTTTTGCGAAATTTCTAGCAATATTCCAGCTATATCCAGCAATATTCACAGAAATCGGCACCACACCTTGAACCCGTGTGAGGAATCGACATTCGGCATGGCGAGCGAAAGCTTTAACCACAAGGCTACCCCATCGCCCCGCTAGCCCACTGAAATAACATGCCGCTGTTTAACATGGAAACCCTACTCAGACACAGTATACTGAGCCGACCAGTCCTTTTATCCCCTTAATGCAGAACGCAAGGCAGGGTAACAACACGTACCCTCCTTTAACATATTTTGGTATGATCGAACCACCGTCTGCCCGCCTTATGCAATGGTAGCGGAAATATCTTCATCCACATAAATCATATTTTGATATGTGTCCATAAATACCCCCGGAAACGTCAACACGAGCAAAGTGAATATTTCAACAATGCAAAAAAGTGAGTGAGTTGGGTTTAACCGCTTTAATCAGTAATATACCGGCGTGTCAGCTTCATGTGTGGGGAAAGCTGTTTACTACTTTGGTGAAACCAACGAGCACGAGTATGGTGCTGACAAACCAAGAAACATTAAAGGGGCGAACGTGGATTCGAACCCACAATCATAGGTTTCTGTCATACCCAAGGGACGCAACTCTTCACAGCGAGTTGCGGCGCCTTAGACGACTGGGCAATCAGTGCCCCAAAGATGCAAAGAAGCAGAGGGGTTGAATATAAAGGTAGCCAAGTAACAACTAGAACGGTTTTATAAATTAGAGCGAAAAATACTATTCCATAATCATAAGACGCTAAAACTTAACCTATGCTTCAAAAATGTCATTAGATAATAATAATAGATATCGATTCAACAGGAGTGTGTCACTCTGTAATCCAAAACAAGTGTATTTAGTTACATATTGATGCAGGTCATTATTTTTTTAAAATGGCTATTTTAATTGAAGCTGTGGATGTTGCTTAATTCCTTTTAAGGAGTGTTCTTAACACAAACATTATCCATACCAAAATGCGTCCTAAAATTGAAATACAAACCCTTTTTCCATGGTCGTGGCCTGCATGTTCAAACTCCTTCAACATGGCGGCTGGTCTGTATGACGTCACAATAGCTCGTCTCATTTGATTGGTGGTATTTCCGCGTGTATAGTGCAACGTGCGAGCATGATGAAATGTACATGCCCCGGCCGGAATTTCCACGCATACCATCTCGTCATTCTATGAGAAGATTTAGTAAGAGTATAGAATACTTTAACTACTGAACTACATTGTCGGATTAACGAGCGTCGGATTAACGAGACTTGACTGTATACTCTGAATCAGGCGTACATGTCCTTCGTGTATCTGAGACAAATAACCTGAAACGTTTTAGCCTGGTGATTTAATTGAGTTCAAGGCCGATTTGAACAGTATTTCAGTTACATCACGGCGTGTCGGTTTATCGTAGATGGAAAGCCAAACCTGATTCAGTGTTTGCCACTTTGGTGAAACCCACCAGAATGGTGCCCGCAAACCAAAAACCATTATTAGGTCAAATTAGAGATGCGAAACCACGATAATAGGATCCTGGTACGTCAAAGGGAGGTAACTCCGCACAGCAAATTAGTAAGGCGCCCTAGATGAAAGGGTCACTGCGACCTGACCCGGTTATGCCCCTTTGTATATTTGTGTTCTTAAGCAACGTGCGAATGAGTGGGTTTCATGCCTGAGGGGTTTACAGCATTTAGTAATCCACTGCCATTTTTTAATAAGCACAGGTTGATGATATGGGGTAAACTGAAGGAGGAGGTAGGAAAGGGCCTTTTTGGTCGACATGAAATACCACATTCTAACGTTACGGACATCTTTGTAATAATGGTAGGAAAATTATCAGACATGGTATCAAATGGATGCCATTCTTCCTTTCTGATATTTGCAAGTTTTTAACTTTTGTTATGTCCAAGCTCACAATAATGACTAAACAGAGTGCAGAAAACCGATTTGTCCGTCTTTTAAAAAATCTTACAACGAGCAAGTCTGTGCAGATTAGATTTTTACCATGTCTTGAGTTTGTGTGTGTAGGGGCGGGATGAGGCGGGTGTGTGTGTGTGTGTGTGTGTGTGTGTGTGTGTGTGTGTGTGTGTAATATATTCCTCTTGTCAAAAGTCTATATAACAAATCAAGGTATAATTTCATATATAACTTGGGAGTCGAATGTGTTGACTGATGCCCTTTTTATATTTTTATTTAACAGGTTTCAACTGAACGGTATTATATCTATACCATCTCCTGCATTTTAAAAATCAACACAAAACACTTAAAGGGGTAGTAGCTTGGACTTTGGGTTCAGTTTAAATAGCGGGGCATGGTAATAATTTGTACAGTCAGCCAGAATCAGTATGTTCATTTATAGCATGGACTAACATTGTGGGAGACTTCTACTCAGGTTGGCGTAAGTTTTTACATTTATTTGTTTCATGTAGAACTGTATTTTAGAGGATAGAAATTTGAGTTATGCATTGTTTTCAAACGTAATTATATACACATATTGATTGTAATAACGTTAAGCCACTAGGGATTGTTTTGTTTTAAACATATTCATTGTCCAAAAAGACAAAGGGATTGGGCACAAGTGCTCTATTATTGCCGCTAGGGACGTATATATGAACTTATTTTCTCAACCATGTCAAAATACATTCAATATTCCATCCAATAAAGTACGTATTTACACTTAAAAGTGTGAAACTCCATCACATAAAATACATGCGCTGATGCAGAATTTAGTACCTCCTGTGTTTCGCAAGTAAGAACATGGCAGCCTTCTTTGATAGGCGTGTGTGCACGCAATATCCCCTTGTGAGATCCTTTCGCAAACCACATGCATCCGTTGTCTTTCACGGCATTGTCCAAAGCTGTCTGTCAAAGAAACAAAACCTCGATGAAGTCTTAAGATGACATCCCTTTTGGGACGTGATGGAGTGACGGCTGCATCAAGGGTCTGTGATTTTTTTATTAAGTCTGACAGAACAATTTTCCTTCCGTGCACTTACATGAGAAGGTTTAGTTCAAGTTGGAAATATAAATTGGATATGTCATACCCATTTTGTTCAGGAAGGCCGGTTCTGGTTTTTGCATTGCAAAGATCGTATTTCGTTTTCAAGCCCAATGAGACCCGTTTTTATTGTTTCAACTTTTGCCAGCATGTTGCATGACGTGACTGATTGGATAGTTCATCTTTTTTCATAACGCTGTCCGAGATGAGGTAATGGAATTCACGACAATCCCCGAAACATTTACATACTTTCTATTGATCAATAGGAGCATTCTTTACACCTGAGTGCGTATTGCTTTTATGCGTAATAGTTTTTATAGGTCTTCCTCTGACAACCCAGTATGTTGCATACCAAAATGTTGTCTGACACGACACATGAAGAATTACAGTAAACCGACGTTTGTGTCCCTTCCAGTACTTGAGACGATGGGTTTGCGAACAAAGAGTAAGGTAAATTAATAAATTTGGAAATGTGAACGAAGGGCTTGCGCGAGACCAGTACATATTAATCAGTTCATCTACCTAAATGACAATAGCTTTACGTGGGAGGGGTTCATGGCGACGCACTATTCTCGCAACGATTCTTACAATTTCATATCAGATAACAATTTCAAACATAATCATTTTGTCCAACAGGCATCGATTGATAGTGAAGATGTGAAATATAAATGTTATCGATCAGAGTATTACATGTTGTCAATTACGTCAAGTAACGTAATTAGCACTACGTTCTACTACCCAACACATAAGGGCTCTTTTGTCCGGTACAATAGGCCAATAGGATTCATCTTGGTGCCAAGGGGTCGTCGTGTCGGTGAAAGGCGCCTACAGCAGGAAAACACATGCATTATTCTAAATATTGAATTATGAACAATCCCCTTAGGTAATGCAGGTTAATTAGGACCTCTCGTCAGCACTGAAGTGTTTGAACGGATGCGGAAAAGTGGGTGCAGCACATAACAAGATGTGTGTGAAGTAGGTCAGGCCTTATGCCACCGCAGCCTGTCTATTTACCGAAGTCGCATAAGGGTTTATTGAAACTTTATAATTGAACTTTACTGCAAATTATATCACTGTCGTGGCGTTTCTTGCGAGCTCAGTCGAGACAAGCCGGGAAGAAATTTGTGTCAAGCATTTTCCATGTTCATTGTAAAATGCCGGGCAAAAGAATGTATACACTTGAAAATTGGATTTGATAAAACAAATTACAAACTTTATCAAAACGTTATTTGGCTGAAAACAGTCGCCGAAACACTGCAAACTTCAGGTCCAAAACACAACCCGTTGGTTTGGTTCGTGAACCAGCCAAAAAATCTCTTAACACCACTTTTCGGTCCTTCAAAATGAACGTGCAGAAGGGGTATAAAATGAAATGGAGAGGGAGAGAGAGAGATAGATAGAGAGAGAGAGAGAGAGAGAGAGAGAGAGAGAGAGAGAGAGAGAGAGATATCAGTCTTTACAATGCCACAGTGTGGCCCGTTCTGCGATGCGGTTATGCAAGCAACACGTTAGTCACAGTGACGGAAACGGCAGCGAAGGACGCCGCATTAGTCCTCGCACTGTGCTCCGACGTCTCTGTGTCGCAGGTATTCGAGCCTAACGCCCCAGCGTGGAATGGCCTTTGCCCGGGAACATCAACGCCAAAGATGGCACTGGGCAAGGACAGTACAACGCTAGCAGATTCGTGACTGGCAGAGAGTGTTTTTACAGACGAATGCAGATTCATGCACGGGTTTATCGTGGCAGGGGGGACGATTGGTGCCAGGCTTCTTTCATAGGTGGCGGTGGGGTGAGGAAATTATGCCAACCAACAGACGGGACTTGTACTTCGTGGCAACCACAACCACCAGTTCCACCGGCATGACGATGGTGTCATTTCTTGGCGAACAACAGAGAACACTCTTACAGCACAAAAACGCTAGGCGCACACTACAAAGGTCGTTCAGGACTTCTTGGCTGTGCACAACGTTGCCGCTCTTCCATGCCCAGCCGCCCCTCAGACTTAACCCCAACTTAAAACGTGTGGGATCACCTAGATCGGCATATCAGAAGGCGGGAGCACCTTTAGAATACAGTACTACAACTTCTCGTGAGGACGATCTCTGCCGTGGGTCACATGTCTCAAAGACAAACAACTAGTTTTTGTGAGAATCCTTCGTTCAAAACTCTCAACACCGCTTGGCGTATTCAAAGACATTGCGTGTAGAGATGATAAATCACTGGGAGGAGCTTATGCGCACTCGATGACCCCTGACGTCACAGGGCATTGTTTCGCCGGTGTGACTTGCAACAAAATACTACAAATTATGTCTTAGGGTATTGTCACGTGTTTGAAAAGTTTGTGGTACTGTATTCTAAAGGTAGGCCCAGAAGGCGCCCACCACAGAACCTTCAACAGCTGGAAGCCGCACTGAGGGACAAGTGACAACGGATTCCCAATGCGGTTCTCAGGCGGCTGATGACATCGATGAGACGGCGAGTCGAGGCGTGCATTGGTGCTCGTCATATTCGCGACAGAATGCATGGCACCTGCTTCGTTCAGCTCATTCATGCGTACTGTGAAACTGCGATCCTGTATTCCTTTTGACCTCCTGTGCACGTCGCCTTTTGTGAGATGCTTATTGATATGATGCATCTAACATCGCAGCATCAATCAAATTTTGTTCGTTTCATTTTAGCCACAATCTAACAGGGATGTATACTTTTTTCCCGATAGTTTATATGAATCGCTATGTTGTTGTCATCCTTGTCACATTATTCGAGGCAGTTGTTCTTTTTACGAAGGATTTTATATTGAATTGAGTGGCAATGCAACATGATGCTTATGGTGTTTACGAACCAATTATAATAGTTCTCGAATCCTTTGATGTATCATCATCGTGGTTTTTCTCTATGTGACAGTATTTCAGTTTAATTCTACTGTTTCAAAACATAATTTGTCCTCATGTTTTAGAAACAGAAATCGCTCACTGGATATGCTAGATTTCCTGAAATATAATATGTATTGGGTCTAAGAAAATTGCTTAGCAACCAACAACCTTTCAGAGAAGAAATGGTATGGTGTTTTTTTACGTTAACAAATGTCAGCCAATCGCAGCACTACAGTCCCCAAACTTCCCGAATTATGAAATGGTCAGTACGCTACCTTCGCTAGAATCATGTCGTGGTCGAACATGATATCGTCACCAAGTAGGCACTGGGCGATAGCCTCTACTCGTCTGTGTACTGGTCCCTGAAACAAATATCCTTAGTCCGGACGAAGCCACGACCGGTGCATTCGTCCACATTACCATGATAGATTTAGATTAACGAATTAATGGTACTGAGTGAGTGATTTCCATATGCAGTCGCAGTGGAATAGACGTTGCTGACATTAATTGTTCAGATGTGTCATGGAAGGTTTCCACCCGTGAAGATCCGGGTTAGATCAGCTCCTCAGCTACCCATGCTTGTCGTAAGAGGCAACTAACGGGATCGGGTGGTCAGGCTCGCTGATTTGGCTGATGTATGTCATCGTATTCCATTTGCGTAGATCGATGCTCATGATGTCAATCACTGGATTGTCTGGTCAAGAATCGATTATTTTTTTTAGACCGCCTTCATATAGCTGGAATACTGCTGAGTGCGGCGTTAAAAAAAACAAAAACAACAACAAACAAACCCAGAAGAGTCAGGTATAACGCTGAAGTGAGTTTGGTAAAACGCCGCTTTGAAGAGTATAGCAGTTATATAACGGCAAGTCAGCTTGGTATGGGGGGAGGGCTCGAAGTTATGCATGTCTTAAACGTTTACCACTGTGAAACCACAAGCAAGATTAAGGTGCCGATTAACTAAGAGACATAATCAGGGCGAATCAGGACTCGAACCCACGATCGTAGGTTTCTGGCACGTCGAAGGGACGCAACACTGGATTGCAATAATGTTTTTAGGTGTTTAAGGTGTTTTAGCCTATTTCGAGACATGTATTACGTAAATGTAAATGAATTCGAAACAAGCGGAGTCTCGATAATAGAATTCTACTCTTCTTGATTTACATCGTCTTAATTGATAATTATAGAGTTAACGAGGTTACGTGCACAATCACCTGTACTCACCTCATCTAAGTGCCTGACATACAGGCTTGGCCAAAGTATCTGACAAATGTTCTCTATATGTGGTTGCTTTTGTCCGGCTGAAAGAAATAAAAAAGACAGTGATCGATGGTTGCGGGGTGCACGGTTTTCTTTGTACAAACAAATTACACGAGGACGATGCAAAGGAATTTCGAAACCAGAGGAAGGAAGGAGAATATAAACTTTTGCAACAAACAACAGATTCAAATAAGGTTTGTTTGTTTGTTGTTTAACGCCGTACTTACTAATATTCCAGATATATGACTATGGTCCGTACGTAATCGAGTCTGGACCAGACAATCCAGTGAATGACATCATGAGCATCGATAATTGGGATATGATAACATGCATCAACCACGTCAGCAAGTCTGACCACCCGATCCCGTTAGTCGCCTCTTACGACAAGCATAGTCGTCTTTTACAGCAAGCATGGGTTGCTGAAGACCATTTCACATAAGGTACAGAGTGCCAGGTATGTGTAATCTGAACAATCTGAAATTGAAATCTGGCTGACATTTCATAAAGGTCAGTGTAAAAGGAATTTCCTCTTAAGTTCTTCATCTAAAAGAACAGAAACATTTGGGCGAAATTGGATATGTCAGTTAGAATGGAGCTGTGTTTTGTGAGGTGAGATGACCTAAGGTATCGTTCAAGATAATTGCATTTAAAGCGACGTACATGCATGTTTGTGATGCTCCTTTAACCAGTCCGGACTAATGCTGGTTTTATAGTGCTAACTCTCGGAGATATAATGCTGCACGTTAACATGGATACCGCGCTTAGACACATTATACTCACTCAGAGCCGATTGTCAGTTCTGATTGACAAACTCCTTTGTCTTCTGTTCACTTGAACAAAAAGAAAGTGCTCAAATACTTCCTTGTAGAACTCGCTGCGTGTACTGAATGGCATATTATAATATGATCCAATCTCCAATGCTGCCATTAAAGTGCTGTTTTCACAACTGTGAGTGGATGATTAAGTCATTACGTCCTTTGTACTGTATTTCAGTTATATCACGGCGTGTCAGCGTTTAGAATGTTTAACACTTGGTAAAACCCATAAGCAGAAGCACGCTCAAAAGGTTCATAATCAGGGCGAATCTAATTGGCGAATCCGCTATCAGCAGATCCTGTCACGACAAACGGACACTACACGTGTAAAACTACCAGACCACCCGATCCCAAATTTGTTATTAATGTATCACTATCGGTATCTATTACCCCGAGTGATCATACGATAATATGGCATATCTATCACAACTATATTCAACAGATGTATGTCTTTCATACGCCAATATGAGTGCGCGATAAATCGCATAGAACACTGAAGAACGAAGCGTTGTTTATTTCACGATAAAGCGTTGTTCTATCATGACGTCATTTCTGGAGATTCGAACATGCGCTCGCAACCTGATGAAATCGTATGTTGAACAGCGTTATATTTGAGAGGGGAGTGTCTAGTGAGTTGTTCCCAATAGATGTAGCTGGGCAACACAGATAAACGCCGAACGATCGCATCCAAAAGCGGGAGAGAAATGACAATCGTCACTGGGAGAAAAGTACAGGTAATCGACGTGAGGATTGTGAGAATATGCGGGAAATACCACCTGTGCATACAATGGACTTGTCCGACATTGCCGAGGTCGAATTCTATTGCGGGAGTCATCATTATTAAAATAGGGGTAAATATGTTTAAAGCTTGCACATTTCATCCTCACCCTCAAAGATGTTGTGCATAATATTGATATTACATATAAGAACTAAACAACTCGTGGTCGTTGTTTATCGTACAATAAAACACTGCAGGAAGAATATATTGCTCGGGGCTGCGCCCCTAATGGTTTATTTGTCCTGCAGTGTGTTTTTAAGTACGATAAACAACTCCCACTCTTCGTTTACTTCTTAAACACACCAACGAAATAAGACATACGAGGAGTAAACACTATAACCTTGTATCTCGGGGACACGGGTGGCCCAGGCGTCTAGGCACCTAAATTCGCGGTGCTGTGTTGCGTCCCTTGGGCACGCCAGAAACCTTAGATTGAGGGTTCGAATCCCGGCTCGACCCGATTATGTTTCTAGATCTGACAGCACCATACCAATGGTTTCGTGGGTTTCACCAATGTGGTGAACGTCTGAGACCTGCATCGCTTCGGACTTCCCATACACATTAAGCTGACAGCCGTAATATATAAGTGGAATACTGTTCAAAGCCATACTCAACCCAACTCACTCACTCACCCACATGAAAATTTAGATCTCACCATTGGGGTCACCGCCAGTGATAGATTATGACCTTGCAACACCAGAAGACACCACTGACCGTTCTAAGTAGTGACCCCGTCCGCGCCATACCAAAAGACGTTAAAAGATGGTACTTGTTGTTACCCTGTCTTGCGCTCGGCATTAAGGGGCTAAAACAAGGACTGGTCGGCTCGGAGTCAGTATACTGTGTCTGAGTGGGGTATTCATGTTAAACTGCGGCATGGTATCTCAGTGAGCTAGCACTATAAATCGGCATCAGTCCGGACTAGTACAAGCAGCCACACAGACACACACACACACGTGCATGCACGTCGCTATATAAGTGCAATAATTTTGGACGCGACGTTAAACCCGGTTTCACCTCACCTCACCTCTAAGTAGTGACCTATCCGGTCAGTGCTACACACTATGTAGTTCCACTGAAAGGATACGTTCAAACCCATAAATACAGCCTGTTTGTGATGTTTGTCGATGGACATGTTTAAGCGTCCTTGGGTCAACCGATTCGTCGGTAAGTGATTGTACCGCTTGAGGGAATGAGCGCAGAATATTTCCAGTTGGCCTTGGTCAGTCCGTTGTGTCGAGGAACAAAGCTTAAGTGGCTCTGTTGTATTCAATGTGTCTGAGCTAAGTGATTACCACGTGAAATGAACCCCTTGGGGATTTAGGTTTTCCATCTCAGGAACCCCATGCTAGTCGTAAGAAATTACGGAAACGATCGGTTGATGTAAATTGTAGGATCTGGTGTTTTGTAATTGTACAGTGCCGATGTGAATAGCTCAGGCTATGGATTACTAGTGAAAGGCCCAGAGTAAACAGCTGGGCAAAAAAAGCATAACCGAAAATTTAATTTGAACAAAAAGTGACGATGTACAAACATTACTGGGCTGAAAACATTCGCCGAAACACTGCAACATTAAGGTCCAAAACACAACTATGATACCCGTATCAAATACATAACCATCGAACAACCATTTCTTGTTTGTTTCATTTTAAGCCACCATCAGACATGGGTGTATACTTTTTTTGGCCGGCAGTGTACATGCGTGTTCATGCCAGTGTGAGTGAGTGAGTATGCTTTTACGCCGCTTTTAGCAATATTCCAGCAATATCACGGCTGGGGACACCAGAAATGGGCTTCACACATTGTACCCATGTCGGGAATCGAACCCGGGTCTTCGGCGTGACGAGCGAACGCTTTTACCACTAGGCTACCCGAACGCCCCTTCATGCCAGTGTCAGAAAGAATATAATTTGTCCCGAAGTTTTCCAAACACAATTTATTGTTCGGTTGACGTGCTGGATGTGATGACAAAAATACGTTGTGAAAAAAAATCAATTGTTTGGTTCCTTCATCCCCCAGTTCCCTATTGGTGAGTATTAACAGGTCAGACACAATAGTCATGTAGTTACGAACTCGTTGATGTATTTCGATAAGGATTCTACGTGGGAATAGAGTAATTATAATATGACTAAGAATGAGGTGTACAAGTTGCTCTTGGAATATGTTGCCTCTTATACCCAGTTGTAATCTGACATCAAGCATGGTATATAGTGGTTAACACGCGAGAGTGTTTGGGGATGATTAATCTCCTGTATTTGGAATAAATATTGTACTTAGCGAACCTTGCTCAGTATTTATTGTTAATACAGGATAATTACCATCGCAAATGACACACAAGCGTTTAAATGCTATCGTTTAAAACTGTAATTGTATTTCTTACATAATTACGATTCCTAAACATTGCAAGTTTGACTGGAATGTGCGCATAAAAATATTACGTCACAAGGTCCGTGATTAGTCAGTCGGATAATTACAATAGGCATTGTAGTTCTTACTGAAACTTTTAACAGTGGCGTAACTTCCATATAGACAAAAAGACAATGTCCTGAACATATTTTTTCAATGTTACTGATCTTGTTGCCGGAATATCCATCGGTTCGCCCCCGAGAGTAACTTCCATTTGACAAAAGAAGGCCACTCTTATCGATGTGCCGTCAAGTTTGTTTAGTCTACCTGGCCTGTCACAGCGTTACAAAATGTAGTCAGATGTGCGTAACAGCGACAAAGCGAAACAAGGTAAAATATGGCGACCAATTCCAACTGTTTTTAATTCGGAAAAAGACCCCAAGTCTAAGAGGTCCACATTTTACAAGCACAGATACGGAAACTGATCTCGCTGGCGTCCTCGCTTACATTGCTTCGCAACTTATGTCTCCAAAAATAGCCTACATTTGTGAAAGGCCTCAGATACGCCCTTGTGCAGTATCCTAGGCTATTTTTGATTATGAAAACAGTTTTCCCAGGAAGTTGTCCAGAACCCTGAATGTCAATTTTACACGATCGGCGATAGACAAGGACGGCGCCATATTTGTTTGTAGACATTGAAAGTAGTCCTTACCTCCCCTTTCATTGTACCGTATTTATCAGTAAATGACCCACAGGATACCGATATTATCCGTTGGTTCGAAACCCTCCCATTTCATGATAAATATGGATATGTGTTATGTTGAAATATTCCAGCAATATCACGACGGTGACAACAGAAATGGGCTTCACACATTGTACCCATGTCGGGAATCGAACCCGGGTCTTCGGCGTGACGAGCGAACGCTTTAACCACCAGGCTACCCGACCGCCCCTCTTTCATCCTAAGTGAAACGAACATAAACAGTTGACTTTATCATATGTTTGATTTTCAACACAAAGTATCTTAAGTTAGCGATTCTATATCGAATAAATGACCTGTAATGGCACTTAGTCAGCACTCGAAGAATACTTTTACATGTTTTTATCTTTTTAAGTATAATTTGATTTAGAACTTTTAAAGTTTAAAACATCGCCTAATACACTGTTGATGGCTTGCTTCTTAGACATTTTATCTTTGAAAATCAATAAATTTGCCTTTGTCGGCACAAATGTATAACATGAAAGGGGTTATGCGGTTGCAAATTCATTTCTTACCGCAGTCTTCATTGAGACAATTTAGTTTTACACACAGTTACCCAACCACAGAATACTTTTTAGAAACTGTTGCAGGAATGAGTGATGGCATAATCAAACTAAACACACAGTTAAATGTTTAATTACATAAAAAAAACTACTTTCTTTTCCCCCTCATTTTATAACTGTAATATAACAAAAATAGTGTTCAAAGAGCCTTTAAGGCTATCTCGAACACATTCATCCGTATAGTTATAAAACTTTCTATAACATTCATGTTCCTTATACATGTACAGTGGAACGCTTACCTAAATGTAAAGTGGCCAAATCTCGCGGTCTCGCATTCTCGCACTTTGGGCATATTTAAATTATTTCCAAAAGTCGAAAACGCAAGACAGTCCCTTTCTATTTTCCAAACTTTACTCTGTAACAATGAGACGGTAATCCGGACATTTAATCATCCGATTTCAGAAGGAACACTGCCGTCTTTATTAACCGGGTTTCACTCTATGTGACATTCATTCTGTAGAGGAAAGTAACTTACCAACGTTTCCAAGATCATGTCTGTGATTAGTTGTGTCGATTTCACCTTCAAGCATCTTAGTGCAGACACCTTGATATAACAGAAATATATAACCTTAACGTAAATAACCAGAGAATAACCAGTTTCGATTATCCGCCGAAACAGGTTCCATTGGGGTAGAAGGCAAATATGTGGTGGCAATTATATGAATCGGTCACCGAAAAGCGTGTTCGCAAAAAGGTTAAGCATGGCCTGCTCTACCAGTAGTACATGACACAATTTCCATAAAAATGAAAGTGTTTGTTGGCAGACGCCGCACAGCAATACTTCTGTCGAGTACTCGAGTGTTTGCTGGACAATCCAGTGATATGATAGCGCGATTTGTTAAACTTAAACCAATATGTAACTTTTGAATTACATTTGCTGCGCCAGTGCGGAGTCTGCTGCTTACAAGTACAGAGAAACACTAAAAAACTTATTTTGAAACCCGTTGGATGATGTTCATAATATCAATCACTGGTTTTGTGGTCTTCATTCGATTATGTTCTGGCCGTCGAGATGTAGCTTGAATATTGCTGAATGTGGCGTTTAACAAAAAACAAGCAAGCAAGCAAACATACAAACAAACAAACAAACATACAAACTTAACCTGGTCCCCGGCCGGCAGAGCGTTTGTGTTAGAACTACGGATAACGTAAATATGACGTTAAAATATTTGACCTGGAACGTTCCCCTAAGCAAATGGAATATATTTTGACGTCACCCACTACAACATATGCCCTAGACAGTTTGCAGACAACGATCTACAAAATGTTAATATGGTTAACACGCCATGGTAATTGGTTTATATTGTAGCCATGTACATGAACAAACAGATGTTCAGACAACTGTTTGTGCTTAGCATAATATCAATACAGTCTCATGATATGTAAATTCCTAGACATACGTCTCATCACACAAACCCTCCATATGCAAAACGCCATACATACACATGTACCCATTTCCTGAACTGATTCCAGCTTGTGACATTTTTGTGACATTTTTGTGACATTTTTGTGACAAGGATCATACGTTGTCTGTATATGTGAGATCTAATGTTTCATCTGTTGGTGTCACGTCTGAGACATGGCGGACTACAAGTGTGTGATCAGCTGAGCCCAGCAAAATAACTTTCTTGATGGTTCATTAAAGTGTCTTTGAAGGACGCTGCAGATTAGCGTCTGACAAAAATATTGCGGGTCTGGTTGTACATAATAGTAGTGAGGGTAATACCCTTGGTAAACTATCTGTAGAAACAGTTTGACTTCCAAACAGGCTCCATAAAGTACCATGAGTCGATGTTTGTGTTGAATCGATTATTTGCGGGTGAAGTCGTATCTTTGCGTATTGACCTGTCTTTTCAGTCTTTTACACCAGACCAATCAGTGTAAATGTCTACGATAGGTTCTCCCCAGAACAACAAAGACAGTGAATGAGTCCACTGAGAATGGTGTCAATATGTCATATAACTACCTCATCGTTAATATTTAACACATGGAAATGGTTTTGATTTGATGTCCGGAACTTAATGAGTTGTTCTGCGCAAACAGATTGCTGTATCTGTATCAGTGTCTATCAAACGGGTGTAGCTCGGGAATAAAGAGATAATGTCACATTAAGTCCTAGTTTCAGTTGACTAGGCTCCTGTCTACTTAAACGAGTAGACAGACTTTGACCGATGTTTCGAAGGCTGCGATTGGATGACACTATACATAGCATTCATTGGTCCTAGATATCAAATGAAAACAAATAGCGAACTACGTGTTTGAGAAGTAAAATTTCTCTCGTCAAAATTGATACCAATAGAGCAGTTTGATTTTCGTTCAAACCAACCTTTCGAGATTTAAACACGTCTCCATGTTTATTAAGATTCATATTAACTACGCTCCGAGTGCACATAAATATGTTAGGGTAATCTTTTTGGGTGCCGACTGTTCGCTAAAAGCGCTAAGTTTGCTGCGAGGACCAACAGTAGAACCGGTTTAAGTTTTCAGTGAAATATCCAATGCAAGGCAAGTTAATGTTTGAAATGCAACAACACCTTTCTTACGTTTTGTATAAATGTAAGAGATACACATAAACTGCATGTGGATGATAGCGGACTATTTCCCACAATCTGATGTGTCGTGAAGAGGTCGCCTGTTTACTGTTGCGTATGGATACATTTGTTTGGGGTTAAAGCCGTTTGAAATTTCGAAGGCGGTTAGGGATGAGATCTAGAGACGTTTGCAGTAAATTTGATTATGGGTAAGAAAGAGAATAAACAACGAGAATTTAACTCGGAATTATCTTTCGTTTATCTTTCCCTTGGGAATTAATGTCATATATCTAGGACAGTATTCCCTCGGGAAAGATAAAATGCATTTTATCGCGTTTGTTATTCTCATAGTATTACCTTGATAAATCTCAAGCTCTTCCTTCGTCAACAGATCTTCCACAACCTGAAAGAAAAGTGAACGATCGAATTTCATATATGATTTATCAATTAATAGAATATATTTCTCATTTGATTCGTTTTAGATGGACGATTGTTTACCTTATAGACATTTTTCAAAATGTTATTTATTATTCAGAGAAATATTTTTGCAGTAATAAGTTATATAATAATAATAATAAATAATCAGTAAGCAATTTATGACTATTGAAAGTTTTTATTCAAGACATTTAAAACTCATATTGTCACTACGTCCTTAAAAACAGCAAGTCAGGATACTTAATACTGCAGACAATGTAATTCTACAATTTGCATACGTTTACTGCAATTGTATGTTTTCAAAAAAGCAACATCAGCTGAAGTTCCCATAAATACGAAACATATCAATTATTCTGTGAGAATTACTACATTTACCAATGACACTTTCCACTAAATTCATTCTTCAAGGCTCCTTTTATGCAGTCGTATTGTACATATAATATACGGAAATCCTTTCCTCATGCGTGTGTATGAAGCTGCTGTCCTGTGCATTACACTGGAAGAAACGAGATTGTTTCCAAACTTGGATGAAAGGAGCGCTCTCCTCGAATTTTCTATGCCCGCGAGTGCTAAGTAAACATTTTACTGACCGCCACTCGAATAATATTTTCCAAATGTGTGCGGATGTGGATAGCGTTTAAGAATATTGGACTAATATAGACAGCGTCTTTTTAATTTACAATGTCTGTATTTTAATAATGCCGATACCCCGACCCCCAACATCCCCACCTCCACCAAAACTCCCAACATTCCCACTCTACCCTTACCCCACCCCAACATCCACCCAATTTCCCACCATTCCCACTCTACCCTCACCCCACCCCCAACATCCCCACTTCCACCCAAACTCCCACCATTCCCACTCCACCCTCACCCCACCCCCAACATCCACCCAAACTCCCACCATTCCCACTCCACCCTCACCCCATCCCTAGTAACATCCCAACTTCCACCATTCCCACTCCACCCTCACCCCACCCCAACATCCCCACTTCCACCCAAACTCCAACCCTTTCCCACTCCACCCTCACCCCACCCCCAACATCCCCACTTCCATCCAAACTCCAACCCTTTCCCACTCCACCCTCACCCCACCCCCAACATCCCCACTTCCACCCAAACTCCCACCATTCCCACTCCACCCTCACCCCACCCCCAACATCCCCACTTCCACCCAAACTCCCACCATACCCACTCCACCCTCACCCCACCCCCAACATCCCCACTTCCACCCAAACTCCCACCATTCCCACTCCACCCTCACCCCACCCCCACTTCCACCCAAACTCCCACCATTCCCACTCCACCCTCACCCCGTCCCCAACATCCCCACTTCCACCCAAACTCCCACCATTCCCACTCTACCCTCACCCCACCCCCAACATCCCCACTTCCACCCAAACTCCCACCATTCCCACTCCACCCTCACCCCACCCCCAACATCCCCACTTCCACCCAACATCCCCACTCCACCCTCACCCCACCCTCAACATTCACACCACCAACAAACCTCCCAACATCCACACCTCCACCCAAACTCCACCCACAACATCCCAACCTCCACCCTCCACCCAAACTCCCAACATCCCCACTCCACCCTCCACCCAAACTCCGAACATCCCCACCTCCACACTCACCCCAACCATCAAATACCTAGTGCCTAATAGTATGAACTCACACTACACACAAAAATCAATGGCTGACATTCTTCGCATTTCCATCCTTTTATAAGCTTATTTCAAGGATCTACATCAACGGTATTGCACCAATCCATCAACACTGCCCCAAACTAAACCCACTGCACTGGCTTCACATCTAATCTAATGACATCCAGTAGATCTTATCAGCTTTCCCATCGTCAAACAGGCAAGGCTGTACTTGACGTCAATGGTTTCACTGTTTTCCATAGCACCATCACGTGGGATTGTTGTTGACCTTAAGCAAAAGTCAAAATTTGTGGTGGTTGAAAGAAGAAGACCTTTAGCTGACCTGCGCCTTAAGGAAAGAAGAGGGAGATGGAAACTCCGGCTTTGCAGTTTACAATGCTTGTCTTTACAAGCCCAAATTGGGGGATCCTGCTCGGGGATATATCGCTTGTCTAATGTCAACAACGACTTCCACAGCTGTTGGAATCCCCAGCTACAAGCTTTCTGGATTCAACATCAACGGTCAAAGGAACATCATGGGGAGGCATCTTATACATTCATTTGAATTTACGTTAATCTTTGTGCCCTGGTCCTCGTTCCGCAAAGCAATTTTAGTGCTACGATCCATATTTCAACATCGGCTTACGACAGTCGAAGTCATAACATTGCTTAGTGGCAATGGGCCTGAGTTGGTTGCGTGTTTCATTGTTTGTTTGTTTGTTGTTTAACGCCGCATTCAGCAATATTCAAGCTTTATGACGGCGGTCTGTAAATTATCAAGTCTGGACCAGACAATCCAGTGGTTGATATCATGAGCATCGATCTACGCAATTGGGATCGATGACATTCAACAACCAAGTCAGCGAGCCTGACCACCCGATCCCGTTAGTCGCCTTTTACGACAAGCATAAGTTGCTGAAGACCTATTCTACCCCGGAATCTGTTTCATTGAACCCTGACTGCGTTAACTGTGCTTTCAAACAATGTCGTGAAGATTCGGGTTAGAATAGGTTTTCAGCAACCCATTCATGCCGTTAAAGGCGACTATGTTTGACGTAAAAGGCGACTAACGGGATCGGGTGGTCAGGCTCGCTGACTTGGTTGATATATTCATCGTATCCCAATTGCGTGGCTCGATGATCATGATGTCAATCACAGGTTTGTATGGTCCAGACTCGATTTCTTACAGACCGCCGTCATACAGCTGGAATATTGGTGAGTGCGGCGTAAAACAACAAACAAACAATGTCTGGGTTTAATAAAAGTCGCTGACTGCGTCGTAACTTCGCTCTTCCGCTATCATAAACTGCCATGCAGAGATTGTGTACACTTGACAATTTGAACAAGAAATACAAACTTTATTAAAACTTTATAAGGCTGAAAACAGTCCTTAAACACTTCAAATTTAAGGAACAAAACACAACATTTTTTCTACATATATTTTAAGGCACAAACTCAATATACTTAGTAAACATACATGACATCATTGTATTCCTCTTAGAGTGTAGGTCTACCACAGGCGGAATATTCCTAAGGTTGGAATGGGCGTCGATATGCACGTCGTTGTTTCTGCAGCTGACCTACCACGCGTTTATGAAAGGACCACGGTTAACCCAGTCGTATAAAGCGCCGCAATTTACTGTGCAGAGTAACGTCCCTTAGACATACCAGGAAGCTATAATCGAGAAATCGAATCCCAGATTCTCCCTGATTATGTTTCCAGGGTTAAACCTATATCCCTTTGGGCTTTCCTCCCACACCAAGCTGATGCGCCGTGATATAACTGAAATACTGTTCAGACCAACCTCTCTCAGTCACTCGTATCATTTCAGGCTGTTTAATTCAAGACGGCGTCAAACAAAAACCAGTCACTCACTCATTCGTGTATAATAATAATAATAATAATAATAATAATAATAATAATAAAAAAAAAATATATGGCGCTGTACTCTAATGCATAAGGTCAATTGATCAATGTGCACTCAACAATTATTCTCAACTCCGGATCCCTGGGAAGTATACAACCCAAGCTGCCTGTTAGGCGTTAGAAGGTTAACAGCTACATTGCCATCTCATCCTACCGGGTACCCACTCACTGCTGAGGGAACAGAGGCACATTCAGAACAAAGTCACTTTCCCAAGGAGACACCACATGTGGTACATGTGCTTCAGTGTGGGGCAGGACCGAAGCCGAAGAAACTTTCAAGAGCCAAGCTGCCGAAATCCATCCAAGAACTCGAGCGAGCGACGTTGCTTTACTTCATCTGATTTGTGACATGTGCGCTTTGCATAGGGCCACGTGACACCACAAGATCCAAGATCAGAATGCTGTAAATACTCTTCGGCTCTTACCAGATATCCGTCTTTCCGGAAGCTCTCTCTCCACACAGCTGACGGCTTTGTTTTGAGCCATTCTCTTGGTGAAGGTGCACTCGGCCAGCTCACAGAATGTGGTTCTAGGCAGCGCAGAAAATGACATTAACTTCGTACACAATAAAAACTCGTTTATCCAGACAGTAATGGTTTGAGAAGCGAAATTTTCTCGGATGATATTTGTTCTGATTAAATTATCATTGATACGGAGTATTTTTACACTAGTATGATGACATCATGCTATTGTTCTTGATTCTGAGCCAGGAATTCACTAGCCATTCTGAACCTGCATTTTAAACAAGTAAAATTGACGCAACTACAGGTCATTGTGCACAATTGTAGAGAAATAATATATCAACTAGAACATGGATTAGGTTAAACAGATTCTCATGATTTCTCCAGAACGTATTCATATATATGGTACACAAAATCATCATCGGAGCTGGGCTTTTGGATTAACCAGGTCCTTATTTACGATGTTCCGCAATACTTCACGGAATATGTTTGTTTGTTTGTTTGTTGTGTGAAGCCTTACTCATCGGTATTCCAGCTATATGACGGTATTCCTGTAAATAATCGAGTCCAGACCAGACAATCTAGTGATTGACATAATGAGCATCGATCCACGCAATTGGGATCGATGACATGCATCAACCAAGTCAGCGAGTCTGACCACCCGATCCCGTTAGTCGCCTTTTACGACAAGCATAGTCGCCTTTTACGGCAAGCATGGGTTGCTGAAGTCCTATTCTACCCCGGATCTTCACGGGTCCCACGCAATTTGGATACGATGACATGCATCACATGATAAACAAATCTTAACTTATGCACCGAAGAGGCCAGATGCATGTAGGACATATGTATTATTAGTTCAAATACATGGGATTTCATTTAAATGTGAATGGTCAAAGGTGTTGCTTTGGTAACTGTACAACGATGCGCATGCCTGATGTACATGTTCATGAGACCCGTGAAGATCCGGGGGTAGAATAAGTCTTCAGTAACCCATGCTTGCCGTAAAAGGCGACTATGCTTGTCGTAAGAGGCGATAAACGGGACCGGGTGGTCAGGCTCGCTGACTTGGTTGATGCATGTCATCGATCCCAATTGCGTGGATCGATGCTCATGATATCAATCACTGGATTGTCTGGTCTAGACTCGATTATTTACTGACCGCCGTCATAAAGCTGGAATATTGCTGAGTATGGCTTGGCTGGTTGGTTTGTTGTTTTACGCCGCACTCAGCAATATTTCGATCCCGTTAGTCGCCTCTTACGACAAGCATAGTCGCTTTTCACGGATTGCTGAGTATGGCATTAAACAACAAACAAACAAACAAATCATATTCATGACATTTTCGGAATCGTACAATCGACTCTGCTTTGCCAGAGAATTCTTTTGGGAACATGGGAAGGCTTTTGTTGCTTTATTTGAACGTTGGCTGACTTTGCAGCATAATCGAGTCTGTTCAATGGCCAATGATGTCCCCCGCTATTGTGACACATGTGTTGAATAGCTGTTTCAGAGATAGCATATGTCAGTGTACATGAACTGTTCAGCGTGTTCTCGAATGTATTATTCACACACACACTGACTTGTCTCTCAAGCTGTTGCAGTGAACTGGTATTTCGAGAACATTTCATTAACACGTGCGAGGGCAATTCATGCATAACGCAACCCTTAAATATTACGAGAACATGCACTATGTACTTACCATTACGGTCAGCAATTGCAAGAGTGAACGTTGAGCAAGGGTTCTGTTACGTGTAATCAGGGGTTCTTATCGGTTCTTTTATTAAGATATCGGTCAGTCATGATAAAAGAGATTGCAGCTATATTCGGTGTTTGATGAGAAAATGCATACGTCCACGTTGCCTGTGGCAGACGCTGGTTTATCTGCTCAGGTCTCATCATGTTTGGCATACGACTGTGAATATAGCTGAATCAAAACTGTCAGACCTTGGAGTGGCTACATCAAAAGACGAGTAGTCGACACAACATACCAGGTCTTAAACCCAACCCGCTGCCATTCGGCAAGTTCACCAATCTCTGACATGACATTGTAGATATCGCAGCAATGAAATTGGTTTCCATGATGTCACATTCAAATGACTTCACTTATGGCTCTGCAACTTAAACTGTCAGCAGTACTTTTTACTCTGAAGACACTGCTTATTACTGTCTACACACTGCAAAAGTTCGAAGACTGATGTTGGATGATAAATAAAATCTCACCCTCGTGTCTTTTGATATCAAATATATCAACACTCGTTGATAAAAGTGCAAAAAAACTTTTTTTCCACTTTTATCAACTCGTGTTGATATTTTTTATATCAAAAGACACTCGGGTGAGATCTTTATAATCAGTTAGGATGGATAATGTTATTTATTAAGTCGGAACGGATTTTTTTAATGTTTGTTTTGAATATGTTATTTAGAGCCTAAAGAATCTGAAATAATGAGAACCTTTTGAAGTAAAAACTGTTGGTTGATGGAGGACAGTAGATATTGGAAGTTCTGCTGTGTAAGTGAGTTGAGGTGAAATTGGGTTTAACGTCGCGTCCAAGATTATTGCACTTATATAGCGACGTGCATGCACGTGTGTGTGTGTGTGGCTGCTTGTACTAGTCCGGACTGATGCCGATTTATAGTGCTAGCTCACTGAGATACCATGCCGCAGTTTAACATGAATACCCCACTCAGACACAGTATACTGACTCCGAGCCGACCAGTCCTTGTTTTAGCCCCTTAATGTCGAGCGCCAGACAGGGTAACAACAAGTACCATCTTTTAACGTCTTTTGGTATGACGCGGCCGGGGAACGAACCTGCCGTGTTAGTGTGATGATAGTATTTGTATTATAGAAATTAGTGGAAATTGAATGTGGTTGAGTGACATGGATACCAGCCCTGTTGTTTTGTTGGTGTTTATAGGTGTATCTGTGTATATGTAAGTATGGTTTGGCTAGTTATCTTATACATGTATGTAGTTGAGTGTGATTGTTGAGTTTTCTGTTGTGGTTAGTTTTGGTAGTGTTGGAAGGTGGTGTAGAGGGTTGTGCCTGTTTCAGCTGCTAGTTTATTTTGATATATGTTTCTGGCAGTGGTGCTGGGTTCTGTTTTCTAATTTATGTTTGCGTATGAGGTTAGTGGGGTGGGTGAAGTATGGGGCTAGTGAAGGGTTATGGCTGAATTTTGTAAGTGTAGATATATTTATGTTTTGATATTTTGTTTGTATTGTTTGGTATATGGTATTGTTTTGGGCCCCAGCCCAGTAGCTTAGGCTGATTTGTTGCTGGTGGCGAGGGGTGGGGATTATACCTGAGAGAATAAATAGGGTGTTTCGGGAGGTACCTGGCCTGGTCCCCAGGATTATTTTTAGGGCTTTATAGTGAATGGCATTATTTGTATTTGATATTGTGTTCAGTACCGGAGCGGCAAAGTCCAGTTTAGATTTTATGAGTGTTTTATAGATATTTAAAAGTGAAAGTGTGTCGGCTTACCTGTCAGAACCGATGGTGGCTTTCATGTTGCTAAGTCCTTTTGACAAGAAGTGACCAAGTTAGAGAAATGGGGTGACCGTGTCAGGTGTTGGTCAAATGTGACTCCCAGAAATTTAGCTTCTTTTTGGAATAAAATTTCTTCATTTTGTAAGTGTAGTTGGGGTGTAATATTTTAGCATATATGTTTTGTTTAATCGTAGGCCAATGGTTTTTTAGTATTAGTTTGGAACGCCCATCTGGAAGCCAAACTTTGAATGTCAGTTACTACAGGTTGTTTTGTTTCTCGAGCCTGGTTGATTGATTTTGAATGTCAGTTACGACAGGTTGTTTTGTTTCTTGAGCCTGGTTGATTAATTTTGAAAGTCAGTTACGACAGGTTGTTTTGTTTCTTGAGCCTGGTTGATTGATTTTGAATGTCAGTTACTACAGGTTGTTTTGTTTCTTGAGCCTGGTTGTTTGATTTTGAATGTCAGTTAATACAGGTTGTATTGTTTCTTGAGCCTGGTTGATTGATCTTGAATGTCATTTAATACAGGTTGTATTGTTTCTTGAGCCTGGTTGATTGATTTTAATGTCAGTTAATAGAGGTGGAATTGTTTCTTGAGCCTGGTTGATTGATTTTGAATGTCATTTAATACAGGTTATATTGTTTCTTGAGCCTAGTTAGTTAATTCTGAAGAAATCCAAAAGGAAATATCATCGGCAAATTTTGCTGTGGAACCATTTCGAACGGCATTTTGGAGAAAAAATGTGGTCAATCATGAAGTTAAAAAATGTTAGAGACATGATTCTCCCCTGTGTGTTGCCGTTTTCCACGGGATATACATCAGAAAATGTGTTGCTGGGTTTTACCGTGATGTTTCTGTCGGTTAAAAATGGAGTGGATGGAATTTAGTAATCTACCATTTATGGCTTTGCTTCTGACCTTTTTATTCGATAATTATGCCAAATTATATCGAAAGCTTAACTGAAATCTCTAAATCTGGACAGTGTGGATTGTTTTCGTGCTTGGGCTACATTGACATCCTGTTCTAAATGTAAAATGTGGTCTAAAGTTTGGACTAAAGCCGCTCTGGTCAGGGCTAATAAGCTGATTTTAGATATTTGGAATAAGATCCCTTCAAGGAGATAAACCTACTGTGTTTAGAAATTTGATGCAGACCCACTGTAGAGTAGATACCTCTCATTTTAATTTTAATGTATTTATAAGAGATATCTTCGCCATGGTGGGACTACATCAAATTTCAAAACACTGCAGGTTTATCTCCTTTCTATCATGACGACAGGAGAGCTTCGAAAACGGCGCATTATGTCGGTAGAATTTGTGTGAAATCTGTTGTTGTCTGTGTTTTGAATATGTGTCATGTGTATGGTGTTGCAGAGTTTGTACACAGCTGCCAGTCAGCTTTTTTAAAGTTGAAATTTGTTTGCTGGGTTATGGAGACTGAAGGAGGGTCTGATGAGAGGAGGGGATTTTATGGAATTAAATGGAATTTTGATTGGCAATGGTCGCTCCCAAGGCGACTCAATGAATATCCCAGCTTAGTTTTCGAGATAGGTTTGCAGTTATTAGAGAAATGTCCACCGTAGTAGGATTTTGATGTTGATTATAGGGGATTCTTGTGGGTTGATTATCATTTAGGCAATCGAGATCCAGTTTCTTGGTATTTGCCAGATCTGTCAGCATAGTTTATGTGCCCCACAGTTGGTAGTGTGCATTTAGGTCTCCTATGAAAGGTGTGTTTTGGATTGTGTACTTGGACAATATTTCCAAGTTATGATGAAGGGTTTTGTTTTGTTTGTGATATTTGTTTCTTATTTTGTTTATGACAAAGAGATCATTGTGACGGAGGCGTACATTTGATTGGCCTTTTGGTTAAGGACGGATTGGAAGTTTTGAAAAGACTGTCTGCGAGGGTGCTGTTTAAAGTGTTTGAAATTGTTTTCTTGTATTTGCGATTTTGTATGCGGCGTAAAGAGGTGTTGGGTGACGATGATGGGTGACAGGTTTTTACAGTTATCATCTATTATACATATTTATGATCAGATAAAGCCCACCCGCCCCGTCAAATAGGTGTCCCTGGAGTGGACGTTAAATCCCTTAAATGATGATGATCTGTGTATAATGTTAGGAACTGGAAGGGAAAACATTAAGTTTTTTACCATAGTACTGACTATAATTTCCTGTTGTGATTGGATGTATCATTTCATATAATTATATTTCGCACATTTATGGTGTTTGCAAATTATAAAAATCATGTAAATATTGTGAACTCTGGGAATGGTAGTCTGAATAAAATTGCATATTTGAATGACAACTCAGACTATGTATAACTTGGTTCGCACATTATTGGTGCTTTGCGAATTATAAAAATCATGTAAATATTGTGAACTATGGGAATGGTAGTCTGAATAAAATTGCATGACTGAATGACAACTCAAACTATGTATAACTTGGGACAATTCCTAGATGTGTCAAGATGTTATATTATTGTGCCGCCTTTAGAACACATTCGATTCATATTATTTCAAACAGTTGGTTGGCGGCTGCATATGGGCATACGCTAACTTGAGTAGTTGGCGTTGAATTTGTATGCATTTTATACAGTATTGTGATTCTAAGCCTCTGATCGACACACCAGAATCGTGTAGTGCCCAAAATTGCTGCTTTTTCTTAGGAAATGCCTCCAAATGTGACAATCGTTTTGTTAAATTCGAAGTGCACACACACCAATGAACCCATCTGTTTAGAACTTCTAAATGACACTCACGTCAGGTTGCCATACACGTGCATACAATATACATGTATCGCTCGGTCATAGAATTAGTTAAGAACACGATTTATCGATTCTGTTAATGGTTCACGACCAGCATGTGCTTTTTCGGTCTTTGTGTGTGTAAGGTTCCACAAATCCTTTTATTCTAATTAGATGTTTTCGTCTTTAAGTTTATCAGTCTGATTACTATATGCCAGTGTGCAGGATGCCACGAAAATAAATTGAGTCCTTAATGGTTCCATATCAAATGAAGGAAACAGGGTAATTTTACAGTCAAATAGATGCCTAAATGACAGTGACAGTTGAACACAGCAAGATTTCAGATCGATTTTTTCCGAAACGGCAGTGGGGATTACATATTTGGAAAGGGAGCATAACTTATACGGACTGAAATGTGAACCTTGACGTACACAACACTTTGTAGCGTGACTGTTTATTTGACGTCAATCAAAACACGTGAGCCTCAAACTCTAAGGTTTGTGCTGGTAGCTATTAGGAGGGGGCACGGGTGGCCCAGAAGTCTGAGGAATGCCCCTTTGTTGTGCCAGGATCCGGTGGTTAAGGGTTCGAATCGCCCTTATAATGGGTATAATCTTTAGCTTCTCAGTACCATACATGAGCCCGTTCGTTGCGTTGACGTTTTGCGACTATTCGGGCATTGAAATCGTGTAAGTGTTCTTAATACACGTCAATTAAAGGGTGGGGTGAAGTAAAGGGGGGTTTGCGGTTGCGTTTATTATTATTGTAGTTATAGCAGACCGGCAGAGTGTGTGTGGCTGTTTGTACTTGTGCGGACTTATGCGGACTTATGCCGGTTCAAGGTGCCCCCCACTGAGGTACCATACCGCAGTTTAACGTGGATACCTCACTTAGGAACATATTAGAGACATATTATTAGGGACCGACCATTTGATACTCGGTGTGTATTCGGAAGAGGGGTGGGGGGTTGGGGGGCTGGAATTTTATATCGAGATTAGATATTTTATCAGCTACAGTTGCAAAACCAGATGTTTATTTTTATTTAGAACTATGATTCTGATTTTTTTCAAGAGAAAACCATCTTGAGACAATGTAATTATGGTGGCAGCTAATATTTTTACAAATGTTAATATTTCAAAATTACATTTCTTTGAAAACCGACTTTCCTTCAGACAAGATTAAATGTTTTAAACCATATCAAGTATACATCATTTGATGTTTGGGCAGGTATGGGATTATTACTTGACATTAGTTCAACGTGCATCTTATTTACCTGATGCAGGGTTTTTACCAACCTCTACACAATAATTTGCGCGATATACGAGAACTCCAATAACCTTTATATTCAGTATTCAGTAGTATCCCTGTTGTCATGACAACGGATAAAAAGTATCACCGTTGCCAGCAGACCGGCTGTATGATTGTAAGGATTGGCAGCGCAAATGGTAATGATACCCAAGTAAAGACTCTCCAAGTTCTCCAAGCAGTTAACCTCAGAAAGACGTCAAATGTAATTACGAACTGATAAACGCATACCACAAGAAACCTTAATTACACAAAACCACCCCACATAATAATAAAGAGTAACTAATGTTGTCTATAAAACAATTCCCTTTTGACAATAAAACATCTCCCATTGTCAGTTAAGAACAGAACCCCAAACCCTGTTGCCGTATTTTCAATTTTAAAATTGACTGATATTGGCTTAAATTTACAGGTTTCAATTGTGTAACAGTATTGACTTGTTCACTGTCAGTTTAAGGATCATTCTGTAACCTGGAACTGTTGGGGCTTGTTTACATGAAGCAGGAACGTGCTTCCTGCCAGGAGCATTACTAAGAGCCTCTGTAACGATAAAAATGTTTAAAATGCAAGTTGGGCAGAAACTCTGCAACAATTATGCTTGATTATCCGTGAATTATTGGTCATCTCAGAGACAGGAACATTTGGTTTTTATTCCATCAGCATTATAAATCACATTCTAACTCCGTGATATACGCTCCTTGCAATACATTGTTTCTTTATATGCCTTTGAACTCACACTTTTAATACTGACGCGTTTGATTGGGTTTTTAGATACTGCTTCAAAGGAAGAATAATGGTTCATAATCCTATCAACCAAATTTATATCACATATTCTTGGTTATTTACAGTATGAGTTTGGGGAATGTTATTAGCTTCGGGTTGGAGCTGATGCGGAGTTAGAATAAAACCCTTCACTGCAGTCTTAGTGATTCTAGAGAAATGGTCTTCAGGCATCTCAGTGTCGATGGAAGTATGAGGAAATATATCAAACGTTGCCATGGTTTCCCTGCTATCTGTCTAATAGGGTCCAAACTGGAGAATTCAAATGTCCGTGGCACCAAATTGTAGAAAATATATCCTCCTTTAAATTAATTCCTTTAATTGGAAGCGGGGGCATCAAAAGCCAGAGAAACAAAACAGCAACATCAGAGAAACTTGTTTCTTGTTCTATAACTATACTAATTATTACAGTTCCGCATGCCATTACAGTAAGACCTAATAGGGTAATATGTATGCGTTCTTGGTCTGCAAATGGTGTTCAAAAACGATTCTCGGCCCCGTTACACAAAGCGATCGTAGCGCAATTACGTTAAAGTATGGGAGTTACGATAACCTTTGCGCTACAAAAGCTTTGGGAAAGGGACCCTTGGTCGTAGGTGTGCGTAATGGTGACCAAAGTCTGTATAAGTGTGTGCATCCATGTTGATATAATGCTGACTATTGTCTGGAGTAAGCTTTAATCTTAGTATAATTCTGTCAAATTCGTGTCAGTGTATATATATATACGTAATCTAGTAATATATGCATGTCCTGGTAATATCTTATCTTTGAATTCGTGTCAGTTATTTGTGTGCGACACTATCTTGATAAATGTAAGGAACCCTGAAGATCCGGGTTAGAATAGGTCTTCATCAACCCAGGCTTGTCGTAAAAGGCGACTGTGCTTGTCGTATGAGGCCACTAACGGGATCGGGTGGTCAGGCTTCCTGACTTGGTTAATGCATGTCATCGTATCTCAATTGCGTGGATTGATGCTCCGGGTGACCATCAATGGACTGTTTGGTCCACACTCAATTATTGCTGCAATATTGCTGAGTGCGGCGTAAAACAAGAAAAACAACAACATGATAAATGTATACATGTGTGTAATGGTGTCCAATGTCTTGGTAAAGGTATGCATTAATATCGGTATAATATGGCCAATATATTGAAACATGTGTTTGTGTCGGAAAAATAGTCTAAATGTCTCGGTAATTTTGTTCATTCGTGTTGAAACGATGATGTCTAATATGTTGATAAACGCATCCATTCGTTAGGGTATAATAGTGTCCAATGTCTTGGTAAATGTCTGTTTTCATGTTGATAGCTTGCTAAATGTATGCATTCGTGTCAGTGTAATAATACATGTACTGACCACTGCCCGTTTATCAGCACATGTGTCCCCAAAAAGGTAAACAAATGCACACTGCAAAGCTGACAGGATGATAATCAATACAGAATGTCCTGCTAGTACAAGTGTCATGCTGAGTTCATCACTCCTGTGCTTCCTCCGCCAAAACACTGATGGGAATCTTTAAGGAATTTGGCCAAACTATTGAACATGACAGCTGAACGGGCTCCGATCAATTTTCGATCACCTTCTGTGTGAAGCCTGAGAATTATCTCCGCCCAATTTCAAATAGATGATATTGCCTTTTTACGAGCTACTTAGGGCTCCTTTGCCTTTAAGGGCCTCGTTTAAGCGATTGACCAAATACACTAAGAGATTTAACGCGAACTGGTTCAGAATGAAATTCGAAACCCAAAATATCCACGGCACGTGATGTATTTGAAACAGATATAGAAAAAAACGGTATTCGAATCATGGTATAAAAATGCACGTTTATTAAATCTCATTCTCGGAGTTATCGTGGAATTAAATGTTCCTACTCCGCGTTTTGTTCCACTGTGATAGAGGGGTAATTTGTTTTGGAGCCTTCCCGGAGGGGTACTGCAGCGCTAATAGTTTCGGGCCAGTACAATTGAAGCGTTTCCAGCATGTCCTTTTTGTCAGATGCCCCTTAGTGTTCCCCTCGTTGAAAGTCCTTTAAGTGGAACCAGTACCGCCCTTCTTCAGGGGACAAGATGACAGCAAACATACAGACTTGACCCATCTAATTATTTGCGTTATTGTTACGAAGTCCTATTGTGAAACAGTTTTACTGTGTAGTCGAACTGTGAAACTGTAGAGGCGAACTGTGAAACTCTGTATTCTAAATGTGAAACTCTGTACTAGAACTGTGAAACTGTACTAGAACTGTGAAACTGTGTTCTCAAACTGCGAAACTGTGTGCTCGAACTGTGAAACTGTGTGCTCGAACCGTGAAACTGTGTGCTCGAACTATGAAACTGTGTGCTCGAACTGTGAAATTGTGTGCTCGAACTGTGAAACTGTGTGCTCGAACTGTGAAACTGTGTGCTCGAACTGTGAAATTGTGTGCTCGAACTGTGAAACTGTATACCAGAACTCCAGTTGTTCGACATATTGTTTCAGACGGTGTAACTTCATGGTTAAGGAAAGAAACGTTATCGGTTCAATGGTCTAATGTTCGCAAAATCCGCTTTTCTCGAACTATATTTCGAGCTCTCCCTTAATTACACTAACAAGTGGTTGATATAATTTGCTACGGTCTGGTATGATAATACACATACGTCATGTTACCTTAAACGTGAGAGTAAGCCGCCCCACCGATGGCTACCGTTACAAACACACGCCAAGGCAAGTCAACTTGAAAACACGGCAACACAAGACAAAATAGGGAATTGACAATACATCATTTTGTCACTGATGCGTCAAATTTGGAAACGTCCTCCTCATGTTTCCCATAAAAGGTTTTGAACGCTTTACTGAGGCCTTGAATGTGGTAACTCGGATCAAACAGCTTTTGAGCAAGAGTCGACAGACAATCTTTGACATCTCTTCATAGAAAGAGCATGCTCGATTGTACCCCAAAAGCTGTGAAATTAAGAAGGTCGGCGCTGCTGAAATGTTGGAAAGTTGAAATTCCTTGTAGAAACTGAGATACAGGAATGGCATGGCATCGTAAATATGTGGTACTCTTAAATACATTTGTTTTTCTATCCATCGCTATTTATATAGACAACAATGTTAACAACCTCAGCTAACAGACTTTATTAATTCGTGTTTCTCTGTATTCGACTTGGTTATATGGGATCTTGACAAGAGGGAGAATGTTTGATGATGCAGGAGTATCCAAATCGTCTTCTCCATCCTCTCTGTCATCTATACAAACTGAGTATTACCCTTGATTCCCTGAAAGAGTTACAATGACGTAAGTGACAAAAACATTTCCAAAAGTGTAAAGAGTAAGTTACACACAAAAATAATTCTAGAAAGTACGGGTTCTATTTTCCAATATAGAGGTAACCTGCGATTGTTATATAAATAAATGTGATAAGGAAACTATTTCCATAATCATAAGAAATCTATTGTACGATTCCGACTATATTATGAACAATATTCTAATAAATCACTATCAAAAAGTGAAGGTGCCAGGTGTTCGCGAAAAGGTGAGCGTATCCTGCACCACCAGTGGCACCCGTCACAAACACATGCAAAAGCAGGTAAATGTTTCACCTGGAAAAACACGGGAACAAATACCATACTGGGAATTGCATCGACATCATTTTTGTCACTGATGCTTCAGATTTGGAAATTTGAGAAAAGTCCATTGTTTAGTTTGGTCATCCTCTTCCATACTTTGAAAATGCAAATGCAACAATCTAAAACAAAGATTAAAGAACTAACAATAATATATGTTTTGTGTTGGATGTATGCACATTCACCATTTATGAATGTTTTAATTGTTTTCTGCGGATGATTCTAGTCTATGTGTTGTTTAAATTAAACAGCCGGGCAGAAGAAAGTATATACCGATGTGTGATGGTGACTTAAAATGAAACAAACAAGAAATGGTCATTCCTTGGTGATGTATTTGATACGGGTATCATAGTTATGTGCTTTGGACCTTAAGTTTGCAGTGTTTCGGCGACTGTTTTCAGCCTAGAAGCGTTTGTAATCTTTTGATCAAATCGAATTTTCAAGTTAATACATTCTTTTGCACGGCAGTTTACCCGAATCTAAATGAGAAATATTACGTTTAAAACTATCTTTGAATATAGTAGAAATGTTTAAACCTATTAGACAAAGATGTGCACAATATGCACCATATTACAAGCCGATATATGTGGCATCGCATCTTTAATTCTGTTGTATGTCACAAGTATTTCGTGAAATCTAAGATAGTCTATTGATAATGCAAAATTAAGACCTTGGTTTGCACCTATTACAAAATGAGTAAACTGTTACTGCTTTTGCTTTTAGTCCACAAAGACTGTGGTGCGGTGGGTGAAGGAAATTGAGGGTGACACATACACTGATCAAAGTACAGCGTCACCAACAATATAAGCCGTGATCCATAACACAGTTTCAAGTTTAAATAAAAAGATCGAATCAGTAGGACCAGGGTCTTGTTTCACAAAGAATTCGAAGCGCTGCTGATGTCTTAACCAGCATCCATTTCAATAGATTTGACGTTACCATCGCTCAGTGAAACTAGCCAAAGTTCTCTCTCGTTCCACGAAGTGGTCTTAACGCTACGATTATCGTCTGTCGAAGAAAGTCCTGGAAGATCTAGTATGACTGTGCATCGTAGTGTACTCAACTTTGGGCATTATTAATGTTGAACCACGGGGTTACAGCGTAATGTGGAAGAAAAAACCCAAAAATTACATTTACCACTTTGGTGAGCATAGGTAGGGGGTTGTTTGTTTGTTGGTTTGTTGTTTAACGCCGCACTCAGCAATATTCAAGCTATATGACGGCGGTCTGTAAATAATCTAGTCTGGACGAGACAATCCAGTGATTGATATCATGAGCATCGATTCACGCAATTTGGATCGATGACATGTATCAACCAAGTCAGCGAGCCTGACCACCCGATCCCGTTAGTCGCCTTTTACGACAAGCATAGTCACCTTTTACGGCAAGCATGGGTTGACAATGCAAGAACCGTATGAACGAATCTTGGATTCGAACCTCGATACGGGTGTCATAGTTGTGTTTTGGACCTTAAGTGTGCAGTGTTTCGGCGACTGTTTTCAGCCTAGTAACGTGTGTAATCTTTTGATCAAGTCCAATTTTCAAGTGTACACATTCTTTTGCACGGCACTTTACCAGAATCGAGAAAAATCATGTATAAATAATCCTTGAATAAAGTGGGACATTATTATTATTTATAGTCTGTTTGAACGAGTCTTGGATTCAAAACTCGACGATCTAGGCTTGAACCCAGACAGTGAATCTTTATGATTGTAAATAGTTTGATAATAACCTTTTCCCCATGATCAAAACCACGTTGTCTGAAAGCATCCACCATCTTCCGTGGCCGGTAAGCTGTAACGTACGCCCGTCTTGGTTTATCGGTGGTGTTACCTCGTGTGTAGTGGAGCGTCCGGCCGTGGTGGATTGTAACTGATCCCGCCCTGATCTCACCAGCAACCTTCACCTCACCCTGAAGCAATTATTATAATTCCAACTCAAAAGTGAGAACCAAAGGTTTATCAACATATGACAAACCTTTGACGAGGGTAGTATTGAAGGTTAAAATCTCACAATTCATTTCATTATTCTAATAGGTAAAATATCACCGAAAAGGGATACGGTGTACAGAGTTGCGTCCCTTCGCCATGCCAGGATCCGCTTATCTTGGTTTTGGATACAACGGCGCTCGTTGATTGATAAGTAGAAAACGTTTCGACCAGTGGCACTTTGGGCTTGCTTCCCACATTGCGACATGCATTACTGTTCAAACAGAACTATACTCTAGATGCCTCACACAGGCTCACACAAATATGACAAATTCAATAACAAAATGTATAATTACATATTAATCAATTGGCACAGGTGTGTCAATGATTCAATAAGATTCGAATCATGTCTATAACAACCATTTAGTTTAGTTTATGAAGTTTCACTAACATCACCAGCAAGGCCATAGTTAACTTTTTGTGACGTGGAGAGAGGGAGAGGGAGCAAATATTTGTACAAGTATCACTTGTACCCAACGTGCTACCCCCCCCCCCCCCCCCCCCCCCCCCCCCACCCCCCTCCCCTACACCACCGGCTAGGGTACTGACTTGGAAGGGCTGGTGCACTACTAACATTATGTCACACAAACGTAAACGGAGAGATAGCCTAACACTCACCCAAAGCCTCGTCTATAAAGTGCCTGATTCTAACAATACCAAGACGCAGCTGCCGTCCTCGGTGTCATCCGTCGGTCCTGGTGTTAATTACGTGGCATCAAACAAACCCTTTGACGGGTCTGACAGTAATGTATCAGTGTCAATGTCACTTACGTCGTTTATGTCACACGTCCTGACGTGACATCCGTCTTTGACAAATCTGTGATCACAAAGTCCTCTCCTGTGGGACCCAGGAACAAACCACATGCAGCCATTGTCTTTAAAGGCGTCATCGACAGCCATCTGGAAAATGTAACGGCTAAAGGTCAATAAAGATTAAACCTGATGCACATGTGTGTCCATCCCTGTATGTTTCTCAGCAATGTTTCTGTACTGACCATCTCAAACGTTTTTTAAAGTTATTCAATGCGGTCATTATTGGTATTAGTAGGATCTTTTCTTTCGCATTTAATGGTTTAGATTGATTGGGTTTTTCTATACAAAAGGCATAATTAGTTCTGTGTCATTGAATTTCAGCTGGTAAATTGAAGAATTGTAATAATAAGTATTGCACTTAACCTAATACTTATTCAAACCCAAACATATTAAGGGGCGGTGGGTAGCCTCGTGGTTTATGCGTTCGTTCGTCACGCCGAAGACCCGGGTTTGATTGCCACAGTAGCACAAAGTGTGAAGCCTATTTCTGGAGTCCCCCACCGTGATATTGCTGGAATATTGCTAAATGCGACGTAAAAAAATACGCATTCAGTCACCCAAAAATATTTATGTCCAAGGATAGAATTTTTTTGTTCCCAGTAACCCGTGGATCAAATGGTTAGACTCGGCGAATTGGTTAACTGTGTTATTTTATTCCGATGGCGTCTTTGTTGTTAACATTGTCAACCACTGTTTTTTTTGGGACCCCGACTCGATTATTTACAGGTCGCTAGGTTGAAGCTAGACTGCGGCGTAAAACAACAAACTATCAACCAATATATTCACAACCCTAACCAACGTGATGTACCATAAAAATGCATAGAAAATTGTGTTTAGATATGTCTTTAATATGTATCAATGCATTGCAGATCTTACTGCACAAGTTATATATGTTTTGAAAACCAGGTTGTGACCTTTGTTCGTTTGTGTCATGTAGGCTTTTCATCGATTTGCTCAGCGAACAATCTTTTTACCATGTAACCATGTTATGACGTGCAGAAATAATATAGTTACACTTTTTACGTATCGAAAAACGAAAAGTGTGTGCAGATGAATAATTCAATGACAAGCTCATGAAACAAATACGTGAATTTTATGTAAATGCAAATAGGGCGTCACAAAAGTAAAACGAAGATTCTAAAAGCCAGGGGTCACTTGCACAGATCAGACAGAGCGCTATATTGTTGTAACCTGTGTTGAAATATGGGAGTTAATAGTCCCCGCGCCAGGATGTCTTTGCGCATTTGGGATGAGTGTGAGCTTCTGTCTTGCCCTTTATTGGGTTCGGTATATATCGAGACCACGTCTTGCTCAGTGCAGGCTTCTTCACATCTTGAAGTCGATATCGCCCATGTTGCTTTCTGTCCCGACAGAAAAGATAATAGCACTATGATTTTATGACAACATTGTGTCGAATGTTCTCGAATACGTCGGGTTTCACGGAACGCGATACATTGGCGTGCGAAATGTTTCTTGGTGTCATTTGGCTAACGTAGCTAAAATGTTGATCTGAGTTTCTGAAAGTGAATCTTGACAATTTTATGAATCGGGTAATGTGTCTATGGCAAAGTCAAAGTCATCAAGCAGGGTTTGAATAAATCTCTTGTATCTGCCTTCTTAATAGTCGAAGGAATAACATTGTAAATTTAAAACTCCAACGCCAACGCAAGAGAAAAAACATCCGCAGCCGCCACCGGGCGAAAAATGCAAAACAGTGTCGAAAATCGAACACAAAGCCACATCTCTTTCGAAAAGACGTAACAAAGGACATTGATTAATTTCCTTTTTTCAGAATGGATATCCCACAAACATTCTTAAATGCGAATACGGACAATCTCGTAGTTCTTTTCCCGTCATAAAACAGATGGCGACACATTAACCCACTGCCAGTTGCCATTAATATATTTTACAATTGCCGATAAAGTTTTACTCCTTTAGAAAATGAACACGCACTGATGATAAAGGACACGGGAATTCCAGGAACGGGGAAAGGAGCAATCAGCCGATGAACCTCTCAGCAAAAAATGATTTAGTTTTATGAATAATGGAGTTTGGTGTAAGCGATAGGAAAATACCTTGGTTCCTCCAAGCTCAAAACACTTAATACAGCATGAACTGAGGATAGGGTGGGAGTGAGTGACGAAGTATGGTTTCATGCCTCCGTCAGCAATATTCTAGCACTATCACGAGAATTGGCTTCACATGTTGTACCCATATAGGGAATCCAAACCGGATCTCCAGCCTGACCAATTACTTCCCTTACGCGACCAGGATCTTATGATCGTTGTTGCTAATCCAAGATTCACCTGAATCTGAACGTTGGTATGCCATCACCATACCGATGCTTTGGGGTTTTACCAAAGTGGTAAATATATAAATAAGCAGCACCAAAACCGTTTCCATAATCTTAAGAAATCTCTGCTTAAAGCAGAGTCAATGTACAATTCCGACTATATCACGAGCATGTGTTTATGAATCACTATCAAATAGTGATGATACCAGGTGTTCTAAAAAAGTTGAGCGCATCCTGCCCCACCGGTGACACCTAAAACCTTTGTCAATTCCACACCAAGGTGACAGGCCCCGAAATCAATAAAATAAACCATCCTGGAGAATGTGTGGTAGTAAACAGTTTGTTTGCAACAGGCGGCTTCTGTTAACTTTATCTGGTCTATCCAAACTGTGACATCCTTTCCTTACCTGTGGGTGACTCACGCAGCTTTAGAAAGAACTGGCAAAATCTACTGATCAGTTAGTTTTAAATGAGTGAATGTTGTTTGACGCTACAGTCAGTAATATTCACAGCAATCTGTTTATAAATATAAATTGTCAATGCAAGAGAATAATCAGCCTAGATTGTCTGCCGAAACAGATTCCATTTGACGTAGAGGGCAAAAAGCTGTGGAAATCTTATGAATGGACCACTGCAAATCAGTGATGACACCAGGTGTTCGCGAGAAGGGTGAACATGTCCTTCCCTCCCGGAAGCACCCGCCATGCATACATTTTCGCAAAAAAGTAAGTATTTTATGGCCTGACGCAGCACAGCAGTACTCCTGCCACGCGACGTCAGCCTGTGAACAAACCAGACAATCAAGTGATCGATGAACCAGAAAATCCAGTGACACGAGAGTACCATTACTGATTTAGTTGAAACTAATAAAAACAGTATGTTAATTTTGAATTACGTCTGCTGTGTACAAGTGCAGAGATTTTGCTGCTTAAAGCAAAGAAAAACGTTAAGAAATATATTCGTTTTACAACACCGTGGGACGCAGTTTCATAGTTTCGGCCAAAACATTTCTTTTGTAGTTTTTGTAGTTTATAACCTGTCTGGCGGCATGGACACACGTGCATCATCACTGACATGTTTGAAGATTTAGAACCATGGGCGCGTTCTCGAGACTCTTGCAGAATTAGTCAGCACAGACAGCTGCATACATAATGTCCACTACGTTCTAGAGATACATATAAACTATAAACTAGCTAGAATTAAAACAAAACCTCTTTCTTTAATGTATTTCAAATTAGATGTATTGATATTAATAGGGATCACTGTGTTAAGGTATCAGCCGCACGGTTAAAATATATATTTAATTATAATATTCTATCTATCTATCTATCTATCTATCTATCTATCTATCTATCTATCTATCTATCTATCTATCTATCTATCTATCTATCTATCTATCTATCTATCTATCTATCTATCTATCTATCTATCTATCTATAGCAAATTTGTGAACATGAAGGGAATTCATTTGCAGATTTTACCCTAGAGAGAAATAATGAAAAGTGTCATGTCAAGTGATTGTAAAGGTTGAGACCTTAACGTTGTGATAGTTGACTCAAATACTCCTTAATTAACCCCATGTGATTGTTCATGGGGTTTCAGCATACTATAAATGTAATATTGCTAGCTGGATTTATGTTGAGATAACTGGATATCCTTTATCACAGCACTAGTCTTCGAATTCTGATGAGCTTTAGCGTAGACATAATGCTAGCTTTTGACAGTGCTCGAGATTTATTGTACATTCTTTCTTCATGTATTTTATGACATCGTAGGCGAATTCCCGAGCCTGAGAATGTATGATTGGCCATACTAACATAGCTTTGACACATTTATTCGTTTGTAATTAACTTCAATAAAATGACTTTTAGAGATTTCTGGTATCGACTTGTCACACCGACCTCTTAATAGACTCATAAGCGACGCGTGTCCTCGGGAGCGTAGTCAGTTACATCGTCATGGCCTGCACGTGCACAACACGCATACACCTTCCCTACCTGTAACAAACCAGATATGTTTGCCCAAATTGTTTGCATCGCTTCTTGTTTCAAATGTAATTGGTTCACCTTATCCGGGATTACCAGGAGGCTTTGCATTGTCAATAGGGTCCAAGAAAAATCCAAATGACATGAATGGTTAAAGTGAATTCAGTCTATCACAGATCTTTGATCCTTTTCCTTTGTTGTTTAAAGCCGCACTCAACAATATTCCCGCTATATGACGGCGGTATGTACATAATCGGGTCTGGACCAGACAATACAGTGATTGACATCATGAGCAACGATCCATTACATTTTCATTTTTCATTTTTTCAGAAGTTAAATTTCATAAAATGTAAAAAGATATTAGATGTAAAAAGATATTGAACCAAATAGATGTAGGTATTACAGTTCGTATCATGTTATTAGGAGCGGGCTCGGTGCAGAATTTTATTGTGCGCATTCATAATGCTTACGAAGAGTTGTATAGAATGTATATCATAGTTCAAAGCATTAACGATACCTCCCAGGATATGTAGACACTTGGTATTTGTATGCAGTTGACACACGATTCTTGATTGGTCTTTGTACTCAAGGATCACCAGATATATCTAGTGACTATGCTGGAATTTGACGGGTAATTAAGTCCCACCCCACCCACATCTCCACCCCCATCCCCACCTCAAGTCGAGCATTTGTAAGTAGATAGTAAGAGAATAATTTTATGGTCATCGTGTGTTTCTCGTAGTGTTTTCGTAATATGAAACTTGACACAACATATAAACATTTTATAAGAAAGGATGACGTTAAGCGAT